CAGCCACTCCTCCCAGTTTGGTGTTGTCTGCAAAGTTGCTGAGGGTGTACTCTCCCCCATCATCCAGATCATTAATGAAGATATTAAACAGAAGATGTTTCCCACTACAGCTGCTGTTTCTCAGGCTTCCTGTGACACAAGAACTGACACGGAATAGCAAAAACAGGACAGATAACCTTGTGTTAATCATCCAATACAGGTATTGGGTTGGGAGCAGAAGATGAACTTTTGGGAAACAATATTGTTCTTTAGTGGAACAACTTGGCTACAAATCAATGGCATCTAAGAAGAAGCTTCAGTAGACACAGGCTGGAAGAGAAGGGAAATAAAGGAAAAATACATACATAGGATGGTATGGCATCACTATCTGCATAGGGATGTGTATTGGGTCTGGCTGGGATGGAGTTAACTTCCCCATAGGAGCCCTCATAGTGCTGTGCTTTGTATTTGTAGCTAGAAAGGTGTTGATAACACACCAGTGTTTCGGCTACTGCTGAGCAGTGCTCACACAGCATCAAGGCTGTCTCTCCAAACACCCCCCTCCCCACCCCCACTCCTCTCATGGTTTAACCCCAGCCAGCAACTAAGCACCACGCAACCGCTCACTCACTCCCTCCGCAACCAGTGGGAAGGGAGAGATAATTGGGGAAAAAAAAGGTAGAACTCGTGGGATAAGAACAGTGTAATAGAACAGAAAGGAAGAAACTAATAATGACAATAATAATAATATTAAAATGACAATAATAAGAATAAAAGGATTGGAAGATACAAGTGATGCACAATGCAATTGCTCACCACCCACTGACCAATGCCCGGTTAGTTCCTGAGCAGCGATCCCCCCAGGAAAACTCCCCCCCAGTTTATATACTGGGCATGACATCACATGGTATGGAATACCCTTCTGGCCAGTTTGGGTCAGCTGCCCTGGCTGTGTCCCCTCCCAGCTTCTTGTGCCCCCCCAGCCTTCTCGCTGGCTGGGCATGAGAAGCTGAAAAATCCCTGGCTTGGTATACAACAACTGAAAACATCAGTGTGTTATCAACATTCTTCTCATACTAAACCCAAAGCATAGCACTATACCAGCTACTAGGAAGACAATTAACTCTATCCCAGCCAAAACCAGGACAGCTCCAAAGGCCAGTAGGCTGGGTGTGGGCAAGAGGTTGGGAGGGGACATAGCCAGAAGAGCTGACCTGAGCTGACTAAAGGGATATTCCGTACCATATGATGTCATTCTCAGCAATAAAAAGCTAAGAAAAAGGAGGAGGAGCTGGGACATTTAGGATTAAGGCATTTGTCTTCTGGAGCAACGGCTACATGTACTGAGGCTCTACTTCCCAGAATGTGGCTGAATTTCACCTGCAGATGGGAAGTAGAGAATAAATCTTTTTGTTTACCTTTGCTTCTGCATCTGGCCTTTGCTTTTTCTTTATTAACTGCCTTTATCAGGATGCACAAGTTCTTTTTTGTCTTATTGTCTCCCATCCATCCTGCTGAGGAGGGGAAGTGATAGAGGGCCTTGGTGAGCACCTGGCAGCCAGGCAAAGTCAACCCACCACAGAATGTGATTTTTCACATCCTCTCCTTCCATCATCTTGTCTTTTCAGTACACAGATATGCCCTGAAAAGGGGCTGTTGCTTAATTTTAGGGGTTTGTGGCCAAAAGAACTGAATGTTTATGAAAAGAACTTCCTATTGTCCCTAAAATGAATCTGTAAAGCTCAGGGTGTCTCTGTAGTTCTGCCTGCTTCTTTGTAGCTGCTTCTTCTGTAAACTCTAAAGAAGAATCTAGGACTGATGTAAGTGATACGATCACTATTCTCCTGTGAAATTCTCCACTAAAATGACACCATTGTTAGAAAATACAGCCCTAAATGTCTCTTGCTTGCATATTCTTGCCTTTCCTTGTTGTCTGAATTTTTACACAGCTTGGCCCATGAAGCCTCCTATGAGAGATATGGAAATAAAAATCAAGGAATTCTCTTTCGTCTCTTCTATCCCTCTCACTCATTTAAATTCATGGCCTACAAGGCCTTTCCTTTTGACAGGTTACAGATGAACAAAATGGGGCAAGACTGGTCTCTGCTGGCATATCTTGGAAATTCCCTTATGAACATGCCCTGAGGAGATTTTAGCATCACATGGAAACACTCCTTCAAAATTAATACAGAGGTGATTTGCTTTTTTTAAATGAAAGACACCATATGGGAGAGAGTCTGTTAGTGACAGTAAGGACAGTAATGGAGCTGTAGACTGGAGAAGGAGACAGAATAATCTTAAATGAATTTCAGTAGAATGGTTTTAGACATGAATAAGCAGTCCTGAGATCAGAGGCAGACTAAGACCAAGGCAGGCACATAAGATCTCACTATTAGTGTTATTATTTAGGCAGAGCCAGACAAATAAAATCCTAAATGTATTTTTAAAAAGACTTCAATCTAAACAAAGACAAATGTCTGCAGTCATTCCTGTAATTAGTGACTTAAGCGCACAGTTTTGCTGTTGTAGAAGAGAGGATACTGTAGGGACACCTGAGATCAGCTGTCCAATATCTTACCTTCTGGAATTCTATGTCTTGGTCCTAAATGTTTCAGCTTAGTCTATGTTTCTCATTCCCTTCCCTGGGACACTAACAGCTGTTCCCAGCTGAGCAGGCTGTATCAGAAATTATGGGTTCTTCTGTGATACCTGAAAATAAGGGAAAATAATTTGTGATTTTCCTAGTAGAATTACCTTGTTTCGGAGGATTGTGTTCTGTACCTACAGCCTATTTTTTTATACTAAGACAGACTGAAGTGAAACTATTAAAGACCGATGTGAACTACATGTTTATTGCAGGTACTCAGTCATGTTGCCGACTCGGTGTTGACCTTTTATGTGAGAACACTAGGTCAGGATGGGCTGCGTATGCCCCAAACCTAAACTGGTTTGTTCATGTGCCTCTCTTTCCCTGTATTGCCTCAGTGTGTGCTGGTACGCACAGTCTTCACGGGCACAGATCTTTCTCTCTTGGGAGCTACACATCATACCTGCACAAACCTATGGGGGAAAAAAATACAGTTTTGTGTCTCCATTTAGTTATGTGTAAGGGAGGGAGACAAAAGTATCCTGTTACCTGTCACTGCCAGTCCCCATCCGCTTCAGACAGTCCAAAATAAAGTCATGCTCCTACTCCTAGATGAAGCCTTTTCATAGTAAGGGTCACAGGCACCTGGAGAAGCTTGTGCTTCTGCTTCCTGTAACAGGGTAGTCAGAGGAATACAAACTTAAGAGCTCAGCACCCTGCTTCCTTCCCTTTCAGAGCAAATGTCACAAGTGCAGCACAGATCAAAGAGGATATTCACAATCTGGTCAAGCTACAAACAGAAATACCAGTCTGTAGTAAGCAAATTGCTCTCAATGCAAACTAGTTACTGTGGGCTTGAGGTCTGTTTATCATCCTGAGCAGAAAAAAAAAAAAAGAGTGGGAAGGAAAGCAGCATGAACATTGTCTTGAAGTTACCAAGTGAAAAATAACTGCATTTAAAACCAGCTAATAAAAGAAAAAAAAAAGTTACTTTTTTGTCTATAGGAAAAAATTGTTGGGATTATAAATTCAGGGATAATGGACACACTAAGAGGTAATCGGGCTTATCACACAGAAACAGCAACAGCAGAGGAAGGATGTGGCCAGTGCTTCCCATGGCAATCTTTCATGGTGACTGCGTGACAAAAATGGGAGGGCGGAGCCATGGGTGGGATTGTTTTTGTACGAGGTTGTATCGTTGTGGGGACAGGTTCCACAATGATACATTCCCCATGAAGCCTTTACAAAAACCCCTATGTGCGAAAAGCTTGTAGGAGAGTGTGTTAAGGCAGCTACAGAGAATTCTGCAGCACAGCGGGCATGTTCTGTCTTGTTTTTTCTTGATAGACCTAGCATGCTAAGACTTACTTTCATCATCTGAGAACCAAGCCTACCCTCTGGAAAACAAGCCAGGAGATTCTGAGACATTGAAATAATTTTCAGCAAGCCACATGGACTGCAGATGCACCTAAAACCTATCAGAGGACGTGAAGCAGAGAATTAGTATTTTTCTTCTGATGCAATAATGTTTGCAATAGACCACAAAATGCTTCTTTATTAATGTGATAAAAGCTTTAGAAAAATAATTCTGATGTACCCGGTATCTTTCAGAGGCACTAAATAAAATGTATTGGGGTTCTCTCTCTTACATAAGCCTCCAGTTTCCACTGACTGACTCATGCCTGTGAGCACAAAGGTTTTCTCTAATCCTTCTCCACACTCACTGCAGTTCTTCCTAATGGATATCAGGGGTTTGTCTGAGACCAGCCAACTGATTCTTCTGGACTCTCCTTGTGTGGATTACTTTTAAGCTATCAGAAAATTGAGTAGGATCCAGAAAGACTATTCAAGATGGCTGGCCTGCCATTGAAGGGAAAACAAATGGATCCGTTTTAGTTCAGTGCCACAAAGGTGAACCACCTATATGAAAAGGCATGTGACTATGACAACCACAAAGCAAGTATTATTTGATTATTAACTCCGCAAGTTACAGAAAGGAAGGCTTTGCAATGCTTAGAGTACAAGACTGACAGTAAGGAAGCTCTAGTTGTAGAGGAATTATATTTCTAGACAATTACAATCTCTACCACTTTGGGTACATCTGCATGGTTTCTACATCTGCAAAATCAGAACAGCAGGTAATATCAGTGAGATAACATGGAGATTAGAGAAAGGTTGTAAAACAACTTGAGGTGAAATGTAGACAATAAAAATAAGTATCAAAAAACTCTGGGAAATGCTTTTATAAATACTACAAGTTATACAATGGGATTTCAAGCTGGTTTTCTGCCAAAGCCCTTCAGACAGAGATTGAGGGATCTTTGCGATTCCAGTACCATAAACATTGCTTAAGCTTCTGCTTACTAAACTCGGCTGCAGGGCATCCATTTTCTTAGCTTATGATACAACACTTTGTCACTGTGACCAACAATAGACTGACTTTCGGCGATGGCACAAAACTTACAGTAATAGGTAAGAAATTTTTATTTTTCTCTTTTAAATCACTTCAAATTCGAGGGTTTCTCTTTAAAGATCTTAACTTATTCTCCCTTTCATTATTAAACTGGTGTTTTCCTGATGTGGTAGTAACCCAGTCTACTTTGGAGAATAGACTAAGTTTAGTATTCTAGGTAGGGACACACATTTCACTTTGCAGAACTGAATGAATGCATTTTCAGTGAATAAAAAGTTGTCCATAGAAAGAATTAGGATGAGGAATTGGTAAAGAAATATGTGTATATCATAAGTATATTGTCTTAATAAATCAACATCTGCAAAAATCACTATTCCCCAAAAGTATTCTCCATAATGATAGTTCTCCTGGGGCTACAGGTGATTACAGACAAGTCAATGAAAGGCTATCTGTCTGGAGAGAACTGAGTTACAGTTACACCTTGGGACAGGTCTAGAAAACAAAATCAAGACTCTACAAACTTAAATTACTTTGGATCTTTTGAGGGTGAACTAAAGCATGTGTTATCTCAGATAACTGGGAAAGACAAATGAGCGTACTAGCATTTTTAGTTGACAAAACAGAAGCCACAAATAAAGACTCAGCTTTATCATAAGCAATACTAACAGCTCTCTGCAGCTGTTTAATTCTTTATTGTTATAGATAACTCTCCACAGCACAGCAAGTTTCTTTCCACAAAACAGGCTCGTCAGGATGGTGATAAAAAGATCATTTAGGACAATGGTCTTACTATTTCAGAATAGATGATAAAAGGCCACTGAAAACCACAGAAACAGAATATGTGGTTCATTTCAAATAAAAGTAGCGCTCAGGGAATGTTTCTCTCTGGGTCACACTTCTGGATTTGGACTCTGTCCAGAGGAAAACAAGGCTGCTTCTAAGACTTTGATAAATGATGATGATCTCGTCTTCTCATTGTGTTGTTCCTGGAGTCAGATGAATTGATGCCTCAGGCTTTTGTACCACACCATTCCACTGCAGAGTAAAATCATTACAAGTGATAAAATTCAATCTTCATAGGAAAGATTCAGTGATCAGCACATTTTTTTGAAATCCAGGGAGAATCTGAGGTGCCTGAGCTGATGAAAATCAATACATTGATCCCTCATTGACCATAGTCAATTATGCAGCTAACTTTAGTAATCATAGCTAAGAGAACAGAGAGAATAAAAGCAGAGACTTCCTTCCAGAGAAGGAGAAAGCGAGGGATCTTTAGGAACTGCTACAATGGGGAATGTGGACCAGGGTCCTGTGTTAACATATTAAAAGTTATTTTGTAAGTAAAAAGACAGACAGACATTTGTTTTACAAGAGAATAATATTCATGATGGTGAAAGGAAATGAGGAAATTAAAGAAATGAGGCTGTTTAGTTGAAAAAAAGCAAAGAAAATTACTCTGTCTGCATATGGGAAATACTTTCTAATAGTACACCTAGATAAATAGATAAATGTCCTCTAAAGAAATGGTGAAAGTTGCAACAACTGATTCCCCTAAGCCTGAAGCAAAAGGGTTCTGGAAAGTATTTCTAAGATTGATCTCACCTGCTTAGATACACAGATGTGGTGGTGTTCCCTTTCAGACCTTTCTTTTTTTTTAGGGGACCATAAATTAATGTACGTTGTGTTTCTTCTTTTGCTGGTACTGCATGAGGGGAGGGTTAGTCCACAGGTTTGGCTCAGGGAACTGAGAGTAGAGGAGAGGTTTTACTGCAGCTGCGAAACAGTGTGAATAATGAAAAACTGTACTTCGGCAGTGGGACAAAACTCACAGTCCTAGGTAAGAGAGAAGCTGTATCTCTGTGATATATGTGATACTGGTTTAAGGGACAAGAGCATTCTTAATTAACAGCAGAATAATGATTTTTTTTCATACAGCCATGAGGACAGGATTAATGCTTTATTGGTTGCTTATTAAAATGGGATGTGCCTATATGTGTAGGATTTGCAGGCACGAATTTTTAGATCCTTGTGTGTGCTGCCTTTGTCTTCCCTTACTGGGAACTTCATGGAGAAAGGTAGAAACAATTCTGTTTCCTCCTATTCTCCAAGAAAACATTGTATAGGTTGGGAATGAAGGATTGTTCTCTGGTCTGCAAATTTTTGCCATTCATCTATGTAACGATCAAAAGCAACATTTCAGAGGTAGAGTCTGGATTCTTGTGCCTGCTGAATCAGGCAGGGAAAGAGTAGTCTTGCTGGTACTTTGCTCCCTTCTCCATAGATGGTGGGCAGGCTGCCTAAAGTTGCTTTGGGACACTAGCTTCCTCTAACAGTCCTTTTCACGACTTCTAATTCTCAAAAAGGACTACGTTCTTTTTCTCTTGGTGCACTTTTCTCCTCTATTCTTTCTCTTTTCCCCCATTTGCTTTCTCTGCCTTCTCCCATCTCAGGAAAGGATTTAACATCACCTATATCAAGGCATTTTGGAATAACAGGGCAAAATAACCACCTGCTGCTGCTGCCACATCTGATAGCAAAGTGTAGAAATACACACTGGTGTCTGCTCCTTTAAACAGTACCATTTTAAGGAACTAAATGGCTGGCAAGAAGAGCATAATGACACTGCGGGTTATAGTCTGATCATGTACAGCCGTGCTTTTTAACTGCGCCACTTAACTTTGGAGTTGGCACTTTGCTCAGAGTTATAGGTAAGTAGCTGTGATTAAACCAAGTGCTCAATGTGGAGGACACTTGAAAATTTCCCTGGCATTAAGGATAAGTAGCATATACACAGACGATTTTAAAATGAGAGTAGGAATGAAAGATAACAAGAAATCATTAAACTGACCTTGCCATGATGGGAATGGAAGAACTGTGGTACTTTTTCTCTAGGGTGGGTGAAGAATGTGTGACAGGGAATGCATGAGTTTATGCATGGAAGTGATTGTGCCAGTGTCTGCCATGAACACTGTGGAAGATCAGAACAGAATGGGCTGTTGATAACACTTTTTTCTCATCTCTGCTCTTGCTTGTACCAGTCTCCTTACTGCATTTTAGGCATGCTCATTCTCTGGCTTTCTTTGTCTTTCCAGTAGTTTTATTGTTCTTTCTGTCTGCCTTTTTCACCTGCCTTCCTCTTTGTCTGTTTTTGGTTTAGTCTGTTAAATCTCTCTTATTTTTCTTTTGTGTCCTCCCTGTCTGTTTCCGTGTCTTCACTCATTAGCCATTTAGGCTATGAGCCAATGAATTAATGTCAGACATACTTTTAGGATAGGAAAAAAATTCATAAAGCCAAGTACTAGAAGGCAGCAGTAAAAGTGATCAACCTCTCCTCATATCCACTGGAAGGAAAGCAGAGCAGTGCCATATCTTCTAGGGAGTTATCTCTATTACTATCTAGTTACCTCTTCTGAAGTCTGTACAAGCTCACACATTTTCACAGAAGCACCCCAGGGATCTTTGTAGAGTAAGCACTGACAACCACGATTAAGGTTAACAGTTGAAAGCAAACATTAGGGCTTAGGGGTCAAGATCTATGCAAGATATAAGTTTCTGCTAATTCTGCTAATTCTCTCCACTCTAGAAAGGAGGGAGTCATCAGAAAGAACAACTACAATTTATAGTGTTATAGTGCCTTCACACTGAAAAAAAGTAAACATTTTCTCTTTGGCCCATAGTTCTCTGCATTTCTGTTTCCATGTGCACTCTGCAGACCTGGAATAAACCGTGGGGGTTTATCATGCTAGATGAGTAAAAAAGGCACTCTAATAAAGTATATGACACCCCCCCGCCCCGTGGTTTTTAGAGTCACTACCTAGCTTCTGAGTAACATCTCACTGTTGCCTTGTACATCCTTTTGACTGTAGAAGTCTGTTGTCTTTAGTCTTATATGTAGATATTAAACAGTTTAGGGCAGGGGAGAGCTTTTGGTTTGTGAGTGTATAGAATCTTGCATCATTTTGGGAAGATGTGTAGTCTAGGATGAGGGCTTCTCATACCTAGGATAACCTAAATAATGAAGAACATAAAGAGATATTTCAGTCTTAAAAAAGGATGGCAAGGCCTGAAGCAAAACTTGTCCTAGGCAGATTCAGGTTACCTACATAAAGTGTTCTTCACTTCAGACAGTGAGAAAGATTAGTTCCTCCCTTTCAAGTCACCTCTTAGATGGGGCTGGGGTTGGGGGGGGGGTGAGGGCTGTCCATGTAGGGTATCACCTGGCAGTATAATTCTGAAAACTGCAATAACCATCATGTTTTACTATGTCTCCAGGAATGTAACACAGACAGTTGAAGATGCTTGTGCCTTATAAAACAATTAGTTGAAGATGCTTGTGTCTTTTAACACAGACTCATGTCTGTTAGTACAATATTACAAATACAGGCTTTATAGCACTACTGGGTACTTTTCTGTCTATCTGTTTGCTCAGCTTCTTTTCAGCTTTCCTATTCTTCTGACAAATACTAGAAATTCAAACACTCATGCATTTCTGTAGCCAGACCTTTTATGTTTCTGTGTAGTAAGTGAAACAAATGCTTTCAGTTTCCTGGTGTCTACCTACCTAATAGATATTAATCATCTAATAGACAGTTGTTAAAAGGCCAGATATATCAGGAGTCACACAGCACAAATACAGTACAATTTTAAGGGGTTTCTGACTGAAGACTGTAATGAAGGCTCTGGGCCATATTGCTTTCTGTTTCAGGGAAGAATGATAAAATCATACCTCCAGCTGTGGCCATCTTTTCCCCATCAAAGCAAGAGATCCAACAGAAGAGCAAGGCCACGCTGGTATGCCTGGCCTCTGGTTTCTACCCTGACCACCTAAATCTGGTCTGGAAGGTGAATGGTGCTAAAAGGACAGAAGGGGTGGGGACAGATGAGTTTTCCACATGGAATGGGAGTACCTACTCATTGACCAGCCGACTGAGGATCTCAGCCCAGGAATGGTTCAACCCTTTAAATCGTTTTGAGTGTGTTGCCAATTTTTTTGAGAATGGAACCCTGGAATCAATACACAAATTACTCTACGGTGATGCTGGTGAGTAAAAAATATGTATCACCATGCTGTACAAACTAGAAATCACAAATCAGAAGGGTTATGATGTGAAACACTTCTATATCCAACTTCTACACAGGTGGTTATGGCACAAATATATATGTAAATATGTAGGTATTTTCATATGTCTCTTCATACTCCTGGGCCTCTGTATCTTCATTATCATTATACATCTATAGTTTTTCAAAGTTTTCTTCAGATTTTTGCTAAGAAATCTCTGTCATATAGTAAAATGTATAGTATAATAATATATATAGTACAGTAAAATTAATCAGGCAGTATATAGTAAACTGAAACTTCTAAAATTTGTGTTCTGTTTGTATTGAAGAGAAACTTGACTTTTAGTTCATTTTTGTCTTTCAGGTTGTGCACTCACGGAAGGTATGTCTGTCTTCTCACAGGCAAATATCTGTATGTATTGTAATTCCAGTTTTACTTAACACTAAGTACAAGCTGTGTGAGATTTCTACTATAAGAATAACTTATACGTCCTCATCTAACTGATTTGTGTGTTAGATTAAAAAAAAAAAGAAGAAGAAAAAAAGACTTTGGGATGGTTGAATGTGCATGCTGTATGTAGTTGTGGTTTGGTTTTTTTAGCTCTTCTTTATGATTCCCTTTCAAATTAATGGAAGAAATTTTGGAACCTCCCTATAGAGTGTAATTTGCTCTTTTTATCATCTCCTCCAGTCCTTAACACTACCTTCTGCTGGGAAGCTGTTTGCTCAGCCATGAAAGAAAAAATTCATTCTTAGCCAAGTGATTATGACATCAAGATTCAGAATCCGGAATTCTGAATATTTCTCAGTATCAAGTTCAGAATACTTCTTATTACAAGCCACATTCCCCTCCAAACTGTGAGGATATCCATATTAAAAATTATGTTTCTTTCCTCTATGTATGCATATTTACACATTCTTTTTTTTTCACCAACTTCTTTCATGCTTCAGGAATCTTAAGGCTGAACCAAGATCAGGCTGGTGTCTCCATACTACTGCAATTCCTTAAGAGTAAAAAAATCTACAAGAATAAAAGTTCTAGATACCATGTTATTCTGGGCTATGTAAAACTTCCCTGATATATAAGCAGCACTCACAAGGCCACTGACTATAACAAGTGAAAAAAATTCCCATCTTGTGATGCAGCTTAATTTGAGTTTCTAAGAGGGGATTCACATGAACAGCGTAATTTTTCAGTAGATGTGGCAGCACAATGGTCAAACATTCCCTATCAGGACATACTTTCTTTGCATAAAGCCAGCCTCTGTCTTTCCTAGATTCACTTTCTCTTTTGGTTCTTTGAATCACAGTGTTCTTTCCCATCCCCTGCTATCTTGTGTCAACAGAGCCATTCATTTGGCTCTAGTTCCTTTGTGTCGCTTAGCTAAAGATTTCAAGGCCTCATATGTGATTAAAGCTACATTAGATTTAGTCTTTTGTGATGATGATAATTCAATACACAAATGATGTTTGATTTGCAGAGTCCTACTTGTGGTATGGAAATTCTCTGAAGCTCACTTACCTCATTCTCTGTGGCAAAGCCTTGCTCTATGCAGTTTTGGTGAGCAGTCTGGTGTGGACAGCCAAGGTAGGCTAGTGTGCCACTTGAAGGTTAAGCTTACTCACTAGTACAAGGATCAATGGATACAGACTAAATCTGTCCTCAGTTGTGGGGACCATGTGCTCTGCTGGGCTTTATGCAGGCTAATTTGAAAAATCACAAGTTATGAGTTTTCTATTATTGTTTTTCCAGAACTCAAATAAAATCAATGCTATCTAGCAGAGAAATTCCTTCTCAAAATACTCTTTAAACACATGGAAAAAGATGAGAATTAAGAACAAATTCTCCAGGATGTAAAGAAGGGAAATATCAGTTATATCATACTTTTTTGTAAGCATTGAAAAGGGACTCATGCCTGCTGTGAAAGTAATAAACAGCATTTTTGAGGAGTAAACGTGGGATAATCTGAACAATGATTTACAAAGATTTACAAAGAACAATGGGCTAAGTCTGAACAAATGGGAGAAGTTTAACTACCAGGAAATACTTTTTATCAGTAAGTTTCTCATATGGCTGAAAGATGTTCCTAGTGAGAGTGGTGGAAGCCTCAAAGCTTGTTCCTTTAAAAGCAGAACTGGGAGATGTATTTGAAAAGTAACCTGCTAGAGTTGAGGGTGAGTATGAACACAATCTCAATTATGGTTTTGTGTCCTTTTTCAAAGATACTAGAGGGAGTAGGTTTGTACTTTACTGGTTCACAGTCATAGAATCATAGAATGGCTTGGATCAGAAGGGACCTTTAAAGGTCATCTGGTCCAACCCCCCCTGCCATAGGCAGGGACATCTTTCACTAGATCAGGTTGCTCAAAGGCCCATCCAACTTGACTTTGAACACTTCCAGTGATGGGGCATCCACAACTTCTCTGGGAAACCTGTTCCAGTGTCTCACCACCCTCATCATAACAAATTCTTCCTTATATCCAATCTAAAGCTACCCTGTATCAGTTTAAAAGTGTTGCCCCTAGTCCTGTCACTGCAGGCCCTGGTGGAAAGTCTCTCTCCATCTTTCTTGTAAGCCCCTTTGTATATTGAAAGGCCACAAGAAGGTCTCCCCAGAGGCTTCTCTTCTCCAGGCTCAACAACCCCAACTCTCTCGGCCTTTCTTCACTGGAGAGCTGTTCCAGCCCTCTGACCATTTTTGTGGCCTTCTTCTGGACCTGCTCTAACATGTCCATGTCTGTCTTGCACTGGGGCCCCCAGAACTGGATGCAGTACTCCAGGTGGGGTCACAGGAGTGCAGAGTAGAGGGCCAGAATCGCCTCCCTTGACCTGCTGGCCACGCTTCTCTTGATGCAGCCCAGGATACAATTGGCTGTCTGGGCTGCAAGTGCACATGGCCGGCTGACATACACTTTTTCATCCACCAGTATTGCCAAGTCCTTCTCCACAGGGCTGCTCTCAAGCCATTCATCCCCCAGACTGTACTGATCCTGGTGATTGCCCCAACCCATGTGCAGGACCTTGCCCTTGGCCTTGTTGAACTTCATGATGTTCACATGGGCCCACTCCTCAAGCCTGTCCAGGTCCCTCTGGGTGGCATCCCTTCCCTCAAGCATATCAACTGCACCACTCATCTTGGTGTCATCCACAGACTTACTGAGGGTGCACTCAATCCCACTACCAATGACACAATGAGGGCGGTATTAAATGGTATCAGTCCCAGTATGGACCCTTGAGGGAAACCACTCGTTACTGGTTTCCACTTGGACATGGAGCCATTGTCTGCAACTCTTTGGGCATGGTCATCCAGCCAGTTCCTTACCCATGTAACTGTCCATCCATAAACCCCATATCTCTCCAATTTATTGGCAAGAATGTTGGGGACCGTATCAAAGGCCTTACAGAAGTCCAGGTAGATGACATCTGTAGCTCTTCCCTTGTCCACTGGTGCAGTCACTCCATTATAGAAGGCCACCAGATTAGTCATCTAACACACAAAGTTGTATGTAAAGATATTCGTTCAGTATGTAAGTAAATAATTTGTAGAAGTTAAGACACTTCCTTGATACAAAAAGGGGAGAAAGCATGGAGGTACATGGTCATTTCTGTTAATGCTCTCAGGAGACACAACAGTTGGGACACATAAATATGGTTTATTTCCTAAATTATTGTATTTGTTCTGTTTGCTTCTTTTTTTAAATTTGTTTATTCTGTTTTGTTTTCAATTAGGCTGGTGGCAAGTTGTATAGAGAATAAATCAAGAGTCCTCTTCATCACATCAGCAGGAACACAGCAAATTATACTTTCTACCTTTCCATAGCAAAGGATTTATGCTTCTGTCTATGAACTTCTGAATATTATTTCTTGGTGACTCTCTGTCCCTCTCCTGCTCTTTCCACTTTGTTGTAATCACTGTTGGGTGTTCCCTGTACTTCCATATCACATTGTATTGTATTGTATCGTATTGTATCATATAGTATCATGTCTTTAAAACTAACACCTTCTTAATGATCATAAGCTGAGAACCCAGCTCCTTGAATTAGGAATAAAGTTTTAGCTTCTTTTCCATTCAAGAAGCATGAGTTGTTTTTTAATTTGGTCTTTTGTAGCAATAATGTCCCACAACAAAAACTTCCAGTGATGTGTAGTACCATAAGGAATTCACATTAAAGAACATTCACTGACAATCCTTATAGGAACAGCTTATCTGTTATAAGAACAGTAGAAGGCTCATCTGGTACTTACACTGTGTACCAACAACTGGAGTGGGGCTGTAGGCTTCAGAGGCTTACACACTCTAGTACCAGTGACTGGGAGAGTGAGCATCCAGGGCCAGCTAGCAAGCAGACTGCATGTCTAAGGCTAGTTTCTGGGTCTGTTAGTGCCATCTGTGTTTGCACAAGTGTTTCTGTCTGTATTGATTTGTGTGGCTGTCTGTCTGTACACGTATATTTGTATTGTGTATGTGTTTGCATGCCTATTGGGAATACACACTCAGCCTTGCTAATGGGTGCACCTAGGGAAAGGGAGCTGCAGCAGCCTTGCCACTATTGGGCTATTGGATTCAGTAAGCCCAGATAAAATAGTTAGAACTTACGATTCACTTCTAGCATCTTAGAGTATTTAGGTCATTAATCAACCCATGCCTACGGGACAGCACTATTTAGATGGACAGTGGTACATTTTGTCGGCCTTAGGAAAAGTAGATTTCCTATGTTTCATCCCAACCTTGTCAATAGTTTTTGTGCCACAGCTGTTCAGAATCTGCAATGATGGGTTCAATCTTAGACTAAATGAAGAAAAGAAAAATGGGGGTGGAGGGTAGAATGGGTGAGCCTGTGGTTTTACAGTAATAAACTTACTGGCTGCAGAGGAAGGAAAAAACTAGAAGTCTTCAGTCTTTTTTGGTATTGCCTGCAATATTATGCATGTTGCTTTCTGGGAAGTATGGAAGCATCTACACACCAGCACAGCTCCCCCATGTACTTATTATGAAATGTAACCCCTACTGCTGTTACAGCTGTTACACTGCTGCCTTTCTCATCACAGATGCTAAGTACTACATAGGCCATGAAGACTGAGTTGCTCTTTTGCTCACAGTACAGAAGCTAAAATAAGGGTAAATGCAAGTAAATGAAGTTTAGACGCTTATTTGGACAAAAAAGAATTTATATATTTCAGAATGGGAATAAAAAAAAATAACAAATATATTTTTTAACTCCTACACAAAAAGAAGTACTGGCAGGACATGTGTGAACAGCATTCCATCTATTGTGTACTACTGTTTAACGCTCTTCAGTATGTCCTCCTGTACTTTTGCCCACACCCACCCTGATATGTGATTGGGGTGATGCTATTGTTTTTATATTGCTAGAGGATAAACACACTGTTCTACTGCATCCAGCAATGGATAAGGATGTGAGATGATGGTATCATGTGAGAAATGCAGGAAGGCTGTGAAAATGAAAGTTTGACTACTATCAAAATGTAATCCTGGGAAGAAGACTGAAAGTAACAGAAGCAACATCTCCCAAGAAATGTGTATAGTAGGCATTTTTTCTGGTGGTGATGATAAAACTTTACCTTGAAAAGGACATCTAGTTTGGGGTCCCTCATGACTTGAAGCAGGCAGAACATTAATTATGGGAGAGGAGAAAACAGATTTTGTGGGTTAGGCACCTGATCATTGTAAGAATTATAGGAAGGAGGGCGCATGGGTAAGGGATTTCCAATTAGGTGATTCAAAATTCTGCAGAATTAAGGCAGGCATGAGGGCAAATGTCAGGCTGTGTGATTACACTTTAGTGTGCTGGACTGTGAAATGGTAGGATATATGATGGTAAGTGGCCTAATAAAAAAGAAAAGTCATTGTCTGGAACACTTAGCAGTCAGGGTTTTGCTAAATCCCATGCCTAAAAGCAGTATTTGTAGGTTCATGGGGAAGAGGCTACTTAATGTCAAAACAGATTAAATGAAAATATTTTTTTGTTAAGCTTGAAAGAAAGGGAAGTAAAGAGACTGAAGGACTGCAAGGGAAGGATGAACAGGATCTTCCCTGTGGTCCTGGTATTTCAATGCTGTAGACATTACCTAAGTGAAGTAGCATATTGCATCTCCAGGAGCTAGTACAACCCTTTCAGGAGTGGGGAATCTTTCAGAAGAGGCTTTTCTGGGTATGGTAGATTAGGAAATAGAAACTTTGTGCCAATGAGGAGGAGGAAGAGAGAACAAGCTCCTCAGAGAATTTTTATATGAAGGCCAGAAGTAATACTGTATTTTGAAAAAGGAACATGGCTCACTGTTCTAGGTAAGAAAAAAAAAAAGTGCAGTGGAAGAGTTTGAGTTAGCAGAGCTTCACTACGAAGGCTAAAGATGGTGTTTCAGGAAAGACAGGTCAAGAAAGAAGGAGATAGTAGGGACTGTGAAGAAGAAGAGGACAAATTAACCAGTTGAATTATCGTTATTAAATTTGCCCTGTGAATAGGACAGTTTGGTGTTAATCTGTCAGATTAATAAAACTGTGGCGAAAGGTAGCAAGCAAGCAAGCTTAATGGAATAAACTGAAGGGAGTGAGAAGGATGAGAGAAAACCAAAGAAGAGACCTCAAGTCAAATAAGTATATTTTGAAAGAATATATACTACTTCTACAATGCAGAACTCCCAGAGACTCTACTCCGTGTTTGTTGAGTCTACTGGCTCTATTCTACCAGAAATTAACTGTGTGACTGACCAAGTCTTTTCCCCAGAATTAAATTGCCTACAGAATGATCTAATCATTATGATTCCCTCTTATTCCTACAGTCTATCTCCCACTGTTATATCCAAATGGAATGTGTGTCCATGAAAAAGACAAAGGCAGAAGAAGTAGGACTGGAAAGGATGTGCAGGTATTCATAAGGAATTGACAAAAGATGTGGAGGCTGGAGAGAAAGAAAGTGAGAGTGGATACAAATGAAGGAGACTGGATCTTACAATATATATCATGATTCCTAAAAATTGTGAGGATATTGATGTCAAACTACAGCACCAGACAGTAAAGTGCTTTACTAATGACAGAGAAATGAGGGGCTGTTTTTATGCTGTGATCCAAATCATCATTAGAAAACAATGCCAAATATTTAATAACCAAGTACTACTTAGATAGACTGATATACTTCCTTTTCAGCACAGCTTTGGCTACTAGTCTGCAAAAAAAATGGTATTTGAAGGTTTAACATGGTTATCACTGGACAGCATCTCAGGGCACATGTGACTAGTTTTGATATTGCACTGTGAGGCTGTGCTCAGCCAATACTCAGTATTTTGGAGAAGGAACAAAAGTAACAGTTCTGGGCAAGTGGGAATCATGAGAAGAGTGTATTAGGCTGTGCAAGGGGCAAGATTCTGGGAGTGTGACAAGAGTAAACACAGAGGGAAGCCTTTGGATTCAGATGGTGGGTTCTTTTTCCAAGATGCCTCATTATTCATGCTCTCTAAAGTTAGGGTAGACAAGAGCACAGCAGAATGGAGTATAAAAAATAATTCCAGCTCTGTCTGGAACACATTAAGGTTATAAGGACATTTGGTGCAAATGGCTGCATTTATCAAGCCTATTAAAAAAATCCTGATCAATCTTGTTCTCACGCAGACTTTCAGAGTGGTTATGGGGGAGCTTGGTCAAAGTGAATGGGGGAGCAACTTGGGGATAGGTGTCTTGGAGCAGACAAACTACATTTTGGAGGAGTGACACAACTAAACAGTTCTATGTAAGAAAGAAATATAGCAAATACCAGAGAGTTCCTTTAAGATTCTGGAATAAAAAGAAAGAGAATTTTTGATGGCACCTAAATCAGTAGAGTCTGGTGATCCTCACTGGGATTCTCTAGAAGATAGAGAGAAAAGAGCGAGGCAACACAGGATATTTAAGAACAGGTAAGTAAATGGCCATTGTGGTGCCAAAGTACATTTGTGCATGAGTGAACAAACCTACTGTGGTCTGGCTCTGGTGAAAATTAATATATAGCTGAAGAAATCCAGTTCGCAGTGTAGACAGTATGATACCATCTATGCATTTCCTAATTGAGAGCATTTATGCTTTGAGAAGGTAGGATCCAGATACCATTTTAAGGGAAAGAGAAATGACCTGCATATCCAACTACATGAAAACTGGCAAAATGCCATTTTTCTCAAGTTAGATGCAGGCAACCTAGTGCTGACCCTGAACTATAACACTGGATCCAGAAAGCGAAATAGAAAACCAAATAAAGTGTTTCATTGAAATGAGTGATAAAGCTTCCACCAATTTCATTAGAGTCAAAATTCTACCCTCCATTTTTACTTGCAGTCTGGTTTCTTATGCACTATTTAGAGTCATTAAAGTTATTTTTACCACGACATCTCATCAGATGTATACGCTGCATTCCTAGCAGACAGATGGGGAAAGAAAGAGCGGAGAAGGAGATGGTCAGATGAGTCTGAGAAAGAAAATCAGGAAAAACTATAAATGCTGATGTGGGACAAAATTCTGTAAAGTCATCCAATGAGGGTGTAAGAAAAGTTAAATGGGAAGAATCTGAATTAAAGAGGTTATATCACAGAACATTTCTGTAGCAGGGGAAATATTCATACATAATGCACACACAGAACCACAAATCTCAAGCATTCATATTTTCAGACACAGAGAAACAGATTTTGGCAAGAGGAATTATTGTCTAGCATTTAACCCTGTTTTTTTTCTGATCTCATTTCTTTTCTGCATTGCTATCAGTTTATGCAAGGAGAAAATAGGAGGTACTTTTAATAGACATGATGGAGCTGACAAGTCCTGTGACATTGGCACAAGAAACACAGTTGAAGTACCATTTGCTTCTTTTCATAGTCTAACAAACTTGTACTTTGTGTCCTTTTTGGCACCAAGAGAAAACACCAAGGATCTAGTGCACTTATTTTTCCTCAAGC